TGAATGTTTACAGATGAGGAAGGTCTGCGGATGATCCCAGATTCCACGCATGTGGGATATAGCGCTGTCGTCTTGGATTCGACAAGATCCTGCCAGCCCACCCACCCCCCACTCTCCCCCCACACGATAGTGAATGAGTGTGTCTGTGTGTGTGTGTGTGTGTGAGACAGAAAAGTGTGCATGCATATGTCTCATACCCTCATGCTGCTAACAAGATGTATACATACAACTAGGACTGGGCAATAAATCGAATTTAGGCAATTAATGGGCTTTTGAAAAAATCCAATTTGTAAAAAATGTGAAAATCGTGAAATCGAATGAAGGATATAGTGAGAGTTCCAGCAGCACATGAATTATACTTGCAATATCAGCACAGTCTGTACAAGACTTTTATAATACTTATTGGGGGAAACAGATGAAAAATAGTTTTGAAACTTGAATATTGAGCGGAAATAAAATATTTTTAAGGCAAACTTTAATGAAAATCCATTTAAAATCGAAATCGTCCAAAGCAGAAAATAAAATCGAGATTTTACTTTTTTGCCATATCGCCCAGCCCTACATACAACTATATATTACTTTCACAAGAACATACAGTATTTTATACTTGCTTCTGCATTATTCTGAAGATAGAGAATTCATACTTGCTTCATTATTATACTAAAGTTAGAGATGTTATACTATCATAGAGATTTTATTCTGTTATAGTTCACTAATCTCATGCTAAGTAATCCTCATTCTTATACTGTTATGTAACTGGTGACGCAACACTGAAATTTCCCCGCTCGAATTACGAATGAAGGATCTCTTCATCTTAATCCCAATCTTAATGTGTGCAATGCTTGGATTGTGCTGCCACCTGCTGGACGAGATTTATTGTACACCAGGCCTCTCCAGCCTTTTTCACCCAGAGAGCTACTTACCAGGGACGAAAAAGGCAGAGAGCTACTCCTTTAAGCGGCCCTGGGGAAAAAATTGGTGATATATTGGTGTGAACGAGCCTGATATGGGGAACACCCATTATCTATCATCACATATTTGTTACTAGTGACAGAGTGTGTGCATTTACAATAATAAATAATGATCATGAATGATACAATCTGAAATATTAAGTATATTTTTGGATTTTATTCATTTCTAAATCCTTTGGCGAGCTGCCTGGAACGGGATGGTGAGCTACTGGTGGCTCCCGAGCTACAGGTTGGAGACCCCTGTTGGACCATAAACCCCGACAGATCTTCCTCAGCAGTGATTTTACATGGATGTGATATAAGAGAGGGTTCTTTAACTTTTTCTATATACAAAATAATTATGACTCATTTTACATTTATTTCTTCTTCTCGTAACAAAATGTACCATGTTTCAGTAAAAGAAGTGAACATCACACTATGATCAGATCAGTCGAGTGAATCAGTCTTGTTGTGCCTCAGGGACATGTGTGTTACAGTATGTTACAGTGTGTGACAGTGTGTTACAGTGTGTTAATCCAATTCTAAGGATATAGACTAAGTTATGATTCTAAAAAGGTGACCGTGTTGCTTCTACTGGATCTAAGCGCTGCCTTTGATACAGTAGACCACACCATTCTTTTATCCCGCCTGAAACACCTCGGCCTCTCTGGTGCTGTCCACAAATGGTTCACTTCTTATTTAACAGACAGATCCTTCATGGTAAGTTTGGATACCTGCTCCTCTCAGGTCCATAAAATCACATGTGGTGTGCCCCAGGGTTCCATTTTAGGTCCAGTCCTTTTTAACCTGTACATGCTCCCTCTTGGCGGTGTCGTCAGGAGACATGGAATTAACTTCCACAGCTATGCAGATGATACACAGCTGTACATCTCCATGTCTCCTGATGACACCAGGCCAATGGATGCTCTTTTTAACTGCATTTTAGACCTGAAATCCTGGATGGCAGAAAACTTTCTCCAGCTCAACCAGGACAAAACTGAGGTTTTAGTCATCGGTCCTGAGGCCCAGAGAGAGAAACTTTTATCAAAACTCCAACCACACTCTTTTAATCCATCATCACAAGTGAGAAACCTGGGCGTAATCTTTGACTCTGAGCTGACTTTTATTCCTCACATCAAGAACATCACAAAAATAGGTTTTTATCATCTAAAGAACATCGCCAGAGTCCGCCCCATTCTCTCTCGGGGCAACACGGAGAAGCTGATGCATGCTTTTATCACCAGTCGCATTGACTACTGTAATGCCCTGCTCTCTGGTCTTCCCAAAAAGAACATTTCAGGTTTACAATTACTCCAAAACTCGGCCGCACGTGTCCTGACTAAGACCAGGGGGCGGGACCACATTACACCGGTTTTAAAATTGCTGCATTGGCTCCCCGTGTGTTTCATGATCGATTTTAAGGTTCTTTTAATGGTTTTTAAATGTCTTAATGGTCTTGGGCCTTCTTATCTTTCAGATTTGCTTTTATCCTATGAACCTTCCCGGCCCCTGCGCTCCTCCGGCAGCAGACTTCTAACCATCCCCAAAGTCAGGACACACACTCACGGTGAGGCATCTTTCCAGCACTACGGCCCCCGTCTCTGGAACAGTCTGCCGGAGGAGCTCAGGGCCGCAGAGAACGTTCATATTTTTAAAAGCAGGCACAAGACACACCTTTTTAGATTAGCTTTTGATTAGTTTTTACGATTTCATTTTATATATTCTATTTATCTTCTATTATTTATTGTATTGCTATTGCTTTTATTCATGTATTGTGTGTTAGTTCATTTTAGTTTCATTTTAGTTTCACATTTTTGTGTTTTACATATTGTATTGTTATTGTATTGTTTTTAGTGTACCCAGTGTTTCCTCTGGAGGAGCCCTCTGCACTGGGAGCGGTGGTCGGTGTGGCTGTGGGGGTCGGACTCTTGGACCTGGTGGGGGCCTGGGGCCTCGGTTTCGGGTCTCCTCTAGATCCTGTGTCGTCCCCTGTGGCTACAGGCGGCTCTCTGCTCCTGGTGCAGACGGCTCCTAGGATGACGCTTTTTCAACTGGTTGCATCCGAACCCTGCCAAGTCTCTCATCATTGTTTTACTGTTTTACTTGTGTGTGTGTGTGTGTGTGTGTGTGTGTGTGTGTGTGTGTGTGTGTGTGTGTGTGTGTGTGTGTGTGTGTGTGTCAGAGTGTGTGTCAGAGAGTGTGCATGGGAGCGTGTGTGTGTTTGTCTGTGGTTTGGGATGGGTCTGTTGGGTGGTCGGGGGGAGGGGACATGGGCCGGCGGGATTGTTTTTAACCAAACTTTAAAGCACTTTGTGTTGCATCTTTTGTATGAAAAGCGCTTCATAAATAAAATTTGATTTGATTTGATTTGAATTCAATTCTTTATGTACAAAACTTCATAGTCATATAAGTTATATTTGTAAAGTTGGTTGGTGTTTTGTAAAAGGGAACTCCCAGGAACCTGCATAATTATCTCATCGGCTGGGCTCCAAAAACAACACATGTAAAATAAATGTGAAAATTTATACCTAAACATTTTGCCCATTCACAAGTCCTTACAATTTCAGTCTGTACTTTTCAGTTCATTTTCAAGTAGATTGGTATTACACATAGTAATATAATTTTTTACACATTTATATCCTTTACAGCATAACTGCGACATAATAAATCACATCATTCATGATGCAGTAAACAACAATAATACTACATCTCAAATTGCTTGACTGGTTTTTGGTTATCAGCCTAGGGCTCTTGGTGTAGCATAATGTTGGAACAAACTGTGTTTCTAAAGTTTCAAAAATGTTCTCAATGATTTAGATTGTGTAATAGAACTGTCCAGTTAATTCCAGATGTTTGGACCTTTACAGGTGATACTAAAGCTGGTACATTTGAGGTTGCGGCATTTGCCTTTCAGCCAATGTTTTCTTCTTTTCATGTGTATGTGTAGAAGTGGTGATAGGAATGAGCTGTCAGAGTCGATCATTCAGTTTATATACAACATCATAAATCACACATGCCTTATGTAAAGTGTTACTCTTAATGAGTTTCAGAAACTTGCTTTTGAAGGATTTGTAATTTCTCTAAATAGCTTGGATAAGTGTACTCATTATATTATTACAATAATTTAGATGTGGTACGAATAAAGAAACAAGGAGTGCCTTAAGACGGAGAGAGTGTCTGATTCTTTTTTAACAAGCCCAAATATTTTCATAATTTTGTGGTAAGTTCATCAATGTATTTGTTTTTACTTTAGGATTTCATCAATAAAGATACCCAATGTAGTACGTTGAACCCTGTGGTACCCCACATTTGATAGTTTTGTTTTGAGATTTGCTTTAAATCTCTCTCTTAGATAGCTTCTGAACCAATCAAACGCAACACCCCTGACACCATAATGCTATCCCCAGTAAAATATCAAAGCCAATAGTATCGAATGCTTTGGACAGATTGAGGAAAACACCGATCGGTAACAGGATTATTTAGGCTGTCAGACTGTACAACAAACCTGGATGTGTCTTCTGCTGCTGGACAGTTTCATTTCTCCTCTGGGAGATCAAAAGAGTCTCTTTCTACCTATCTATTGAGATAACTTGAGAGACCGTCTTAAAACAAGATGAAACCAGAAATACATTTGCTATGTCTCTGCTTGAAATAAGACTAACGCTCGTTGTTCTAATGTTTTAAGAAATGTTTCAAATCAAGATTTACTTATTCCCTTGTAGCACATCTTTTTGTTTGCTGTCCATCACAATGATTACTTTCTCACATATTCCTTCATTTAGAGACGTACATTTACCCGCCACAGCAGTATATTACACTGTAATAATTACAGTCTGTACATGAGACACATTCATTTGGAAAAATAAACAATATATAGAACTCACCGGTTATAATAAAAATAAAGCGGGATTCTGATCTCAACCATCTCAACATGGCAACCCTTTAGTCTTCAGGCCACTGCGCATGCTCCGTGGATGGCTCGCTTCAGTACAGTGCGCATGCTCCGTGGCCCGCACTTGCTTCACTTTATTTGGTTGTATTAAAACGCTAATGGCGACGAAGAGCGCTCTCCTGATTCTGTCCCCGGGAGCGGAGGAGATGGAGACAGTGATCCCTGCGGACGTGCTGCGCAGAGCGGGGGTCAGTGTTCAGTATCAGCGACAAGAGTAATCAAAGTACTCTAGATGTAACGAGAGACTTCAGCTATTATGTGTGTGTGTGTGTGTGTGTACAGCCTATGGTGTGTGTCCCAAAGGTCAAAGTTAAACGTTTGCCTCCTCTTCACATTAAAGCTGGGATATTTAACTTGAACAGAATTAATACGTTTTTGTTTGTATCAGCAAAAAAAGCTCAACATGCTGTCTTCATCTTCTGTGTAAGAAAGAGCCCTGTGAGTCACTAATTGACTCTTTGGGCTGAGAACTGATTGGCTGAGTTAGGGTGGTCCATCCATGGACGGAGGCCAGAAATGCATGTCGTGAGAACTAGTGATAGAAGCAACTGTTTCAGAGCCAGGAACAACAGACATTGGATTAATACAGGGTTCATTTGAGGTCTGAATGTTACGTACCTGAGGTTTAATGTCACGTCCCTCAGCTTTAATGTTTAATGTTTTTTTGTGCCACCGTGAGGAAATTTCCATGATGCAGTGCAAATACTGGATGGTAGTAAGACCACACGTTTGACTTCAAGCATTCGTTGTGTCATTGTCCTCCAAATAAATTATTGGAAAGAAAATAAATTGATTTATCTTGTAAAAAGTGCCTGCTGAAAGATCAAGGCTCCTGTGGACTCAGCACCTGCAGGAGGATCAGTGAGGGGCTGGTGCTAAGTGTACTGGATGCAGCTCTGACTGCCACCCCACCCACCCCCGACCCAGAAATGGATTAAGGGGAAGAAAATGGATGGATAGATGCAAAAAGTTCGGGAGTACTTTGATGGCTCCCAGTCCTTTTGGTTGATTGTCTCTAGCCATCGTTGCCTTCTGTCTTTATCAGGAGCAGGTGTAAAATAAAAAGACACATTTGGCTTTTGTCCTTGCCTGTTATTATAACCAACCGCACTGCAAATATCACAGTTTTGGCTGTTATTCGGTGAAACGGGTTGTTTCAAGTTTCCAAAGGCTTGCAGTTAGACTTCTGCTGTCTGCCATAGAGAGTGGGCGTGGCCGGGACATCACATGCAAGGGGTCAATAGCTAAAATAAGGAAAGGTGGGACTCATCTGTAATATTATAATTTATAATATTACTTAATTTATATCAACATTTAAGGCCAGGTGGTCAATTTAATACAATTCTTAAAATTAAGTCATTTAGAGTTCCAGACTATCACTTTGAAGTCTCGTACCTAAGCTTTAAAGTCAGATAAAAGATTTAAGAGTGTGTAATGCGTGTTTTTGTTGATATTTACAGATTTCAGTGACTGTAGCTGGACTCGTGGGGAAAGAGCCAGTTAAGTGCAGTAGGGGCGTGGTCATCTGTCCTGATGAGAGTCTGCAGGAGGCCAGCAAGCAGGTGAGGTCTGAGGTCAGGAGGCCAGCACACAGGTGAGGTCTGAGGTCAGGAGGTTTGGATTTTCAAAGACAATATCACAATATAAACACCAGGATCACAGATAGCGCTAAACCACAGATTTAAACCCGTAGCACCCTCTGTATTGTTCAATGGATATGGCAAAAGAAGTATGACTTTTTGGTTGAACGCATTAACTAATAAATGTACCCAAGAACCCAAAGAAGCAAATATGCTGCATCAATGACCAACTTTGGTCATTGAATGTTGCTTTCCAAAAATAGCACAGATAATTTTTCTCAACAAATATTTTTGTCTGGGTTCTACGGGGTTCAGCCAAAAATGGTTACACAAACAGTACTTTATCTGAGTCAGTGTCAATGAGTTGTGTCTTATGTAGCCCCTGTCATACAGTAGTGTTGTGGATCTCCACAGACCTGACTCATACATGTGCAGGTGTTTCAGTTATAGATTACATGACTACTGTAATTTCCGGACAATGAGCCACTACTTTTTTCTAGTGCTTTGATCTCTGCGGCTTATATGCCGCTTTTCCATAGTCACGGCACGGCACGGTATGGCACGGCGCGGCACGGCCGTGTGCGGGTGCTTTTTGACGTGTAACCAGTGACATTGGTGCGGTGCATGGATTTATTATAATATCAGTGATAGCTGTTTATTACGTCCTAGGGGACTCTGCTTACCCCCTGCAGAACTGGCCCCTAAAACCTTTTCAGGACACCGGGCGAGTGACAGACGAACAGCAAGTATTTAATTGAAAATTCAGCACAGCGCGAGTGGTTGTTGAAAATGCTTTTGGCAGTCTTAAAGGAATGACTCGGACACTGAACATGTGAAGTCAATGGTGCTGACTTGCTGTGCTCTGCAAAATCTGTGCGAAAACCATGGAGAGACCATGTGACACCTGTAGCAACAGCAGCCTGTGTAGCAGTGGTGCAGAGGAGGGTCTGATGCGTAACTTTGTCATATACCTAAACATTTATTTTGCCCTGGTTTTGACCAAAATAAAACCTTTTTGTATCTAGTAAATGTCTCCATCCTTGTTCATAAATTTACCAAGGTTACACAGATTTACTGACAAATATAATTTATGTAATGTAAATAGAAGTAAAAGTGTGGTAGGAAATTGTAAATTTTGCTTTTGAACCACTTTTCTGCATGTGTACAGACAAATGAATGAAACAAAGTCTTGATACAATCACAGATTTATTGAAAACAAAAGTGAAGTGCAAAACCAACAACCATTCATTGCTCCTTTGTATTCTCCTCACTTGTGGGAAGGGATTCTCAAAAAAATAAATAAACACATGACAACTTAAGTACAAGCACAAAAAAGAAACACGTGAAAGAGCAAAATACAACACGCAAGAAGGACGTTTTAGCTTAGCTTTCTATTAATAGCTAAATGTAGCTAGCTCACTATTTACAGTCTTGTACATCAGACAATCAAACTTTTACACTAGTACATTTCAGTGAGAGCTTTGGGCCAACGGGAAACGTAGCTAACCAGTTATTGTACCACCAGTTTACAGTGCCTTGCGAAAGTTGAACTTTTCAACATTTTGCCACATTTCAGGCTTCCAACATAAACTTATTAAAATAAAATGTTTTGTCAAGAATCAACAACAAGTGGGACACAATCGTGAAGTGGAATAACATTTATTGGATAATTTAAACTTTTTTAACAAATAAAAAACTGAAAAGTGGGGCGTGTAATATTATTCGGCCCCCTTGCGCTAATACTTTGTAGCGCCACCTTTTGCTGCAATTACAGCTGCAAGTCGCTTGGGGTATGTCTCTATCAGTTTTGCACATCGAGAGACTGGAATTCTTGCCCATTCTTCCTTGCAAAACAGCTCGAGCTCAGTGAGGTTGAATGGAGAGCGTTTGTGAACAGCAGTCTTCAGCTCTTTCCACAGATTCTCGATTGGATTCAGGTCTGGACTTTGACTTGGCCATTCTAACACCTGGATACGTCTATTTGTGAACCATTCCATTGTAGATTTGGCTTTATGTTTTGGATCATTGTCCTGTTGGAAGATAAATCTTCGTCCCAGTCTCAGGTCTTTTGCAGACTCCAACAGGTTTTCTTCCAGAATGGTCCTGTATTTGGCTCCATCCATCTTCCCATCAATTTTAGCCATCTTCCCTGTCCCTGCTGAAGAAAAGCAGGCCCAAACCATGATGCTGCCACCACCATGTTTGACAGTGGGGATGGTGTGTTCAGGGTGATGAGCTGTGTTGCTTTTACGCCAAACATATCGTTTTGCATTGTGGCCAAAAAGTTCGATTTTGGTTTCATCTGACCAGAGCACCTTCTTCCACATGTTTGGTGTGTCTCCCAGGTGGCTTGTGGCAAACTTTAAACGAGACTTTTTTATGGATATCTTTGAGAAATGGCCACTCTTCCATAAAGGCCAGATTTGTGTAGTGCACGACTGATTGTTGTCCTACGGACAGACTCTCCCACCTCAGCTGTAGTTGTCTGCAGTTCATCCAGAGTGATCATGGGCCTCTTGGCTGCATCTTTGATCAGTCTTCTCCTTGTTTGAGATGAAAGTTTGGAGGGACGGCCGGGTCTTGGTAAATTTGCAGTGGTCTGATACTCCTTCCATTTCAATATAATTGCTTGCACAGTGCTCCTTGAGATGTTTAAAGCTTGGGAAATCTTTTTGTATCCAAATCCGGCTTTAAACTTCTCCACAACAGTATCTCGGACCTGCCTGGTGTGTTCCTTTATCTTCATGGTTCTCTCTGCGCTTTAAACAGAACCCTAAGACTATCAAAGAGCAGGTGCATTTATACGGAGACTTGATTACACACAGGTGCATTCTATTTATCATCATCAGTCATTTAGGACAACATTGGATCATTCAAAGATCCTCACTGAACTTCTGGAGTGAGTTTCCTGCACTGAAAGTAAAGGGGCCAAATAATATTGCACGCCCCACTTTTCAGTTTTTTATTTGTAAAAAAAGTTTAAATTATCCAATAAATTTTGTTCCACTTCACGATTGTGTCCCACTTGCTGTTGATTCATGACAAAAAATTAAATTTTTATATCTTTATGTTTGAAGCCTGAAATGTGGCAAAATGTTGAAAGGTTCAATATGAGGTTGAATACTTTCGCAAGGCACTGTATATAGGTGGTATGAAAAAAGAACACTGATCCCAGGCCCAACCCTAGTGGAAATGCAAAATAACCGCGCCGTGCCCTGCCGTACCATACCGTACTGTACCGTTGCTGTGGAAAAGCGGCAACAGAGAGATGCGTCTAATGTGTGTATTTCAAACTTGATGTGTCCATCAAGTTTTAGTAGATATAGGACACTTGACCATTGTCAAAATAGATGGTGAATGAGTGATGAAGCTAACAGTTAAGCTGTTAAACAGTTCATCATTAAATCATCAATTATCAACTGAAATGTCTCCACTGTGGGACGAATAAAGGATCTCTAATCATGTTGTGATGAGTTAAAGCAGTTGTCTATCTGCTGCATTACAACATGACAATCTGCAGCTTATATTCAAGTGTGGCCTATATATTTGGACATTGATTTTATTTTAAAATGTTGGTGGTGCGGCTTATATACAGGTGTGCCTTTTTATAGTCTAAAAAGTATGGTACCTCTGTCCCCTGTGTGCTAATGTTCCATGTGTGCTACTGTCCCCTGTGTGCTGGTCCAGGGCCCGTTCGATGTGGTGCTTCTCCCGGGGGGGATGCCTGGGGCCCAGAACCTGGCTGAGGTGATGCACTCTGTTCACTTTCTCATTATGTAGAATGTTTTCAAAGATCATTTATTAATAGTAATATTACAGAAAACATGTTATGCTGACCGTGGTAAACTCAACTAGAATCTGATTAAGAAACGTGACTCGAGCGTTATACTTAAAGGAGCTATACCCGTTTCTGCAAGGTTTGAATGTTTAGCACTGCCCCTCAACTCGCTCACAGGCTTCTCAATTCCACTACGCTCTCATCCCATGGAGCCATCTAGTTTTATTTGCGATCTGCTACATATGCAAACATTAGCATGAGTGCAACTTCTTGTAAGATGTACAACAACCACTGATGAAATGGTACAAAAGCAACGCACTGCTAACAAAAAATATAACTGAAAGATTATCGCTAGTTTCGCGTCCGAATGTAGTCCGAGGCGGTCCGCACTCGCAGGTCTCTCCCATAGACTGTAATCTGTCCAGAGGATACAATGTATGCTAGCTATGTTCACCCAGGCTTGATTTCTTCTTTGATGATTTTTTCGCTTCAGTTTCCTCTTCTCTTCCTCACTGTTGTGTCGTTTGGGCTGTTTTGCTGTGTCTGCAGTTACAGCAAGAGGAGTTATAGCCACTTGCTGCTAACATGCTACCTTGTTTACCAGCATTGTAGAAGCTAGAGGACGCAGTGTGTTCGCTCCTCGTTCTGTGAGTGAAGGAGACCAAGCGTCACGCTAAGTCTCTACTCAGCACTTTTTACGGCCTGAATTCATACACAAAGTGAATCAATGAGCTCATGTTTTCAATTAAATTACGGATTATAATACAATTTATATGTAGTAATAAGCATTTTTATTAACTTGTTAGAAAAATTTTTTAGATAGCTTCTTCAAATGAAAGAATTGTAGTGATTCTGTGATTTTCAAATGATAATGAGGTAATGAACTCTCACCCTGATGGTAACTCTCGCTAATCTCTTGCTGGTCTCTTTCCCTGGTCTCTTTCTCTCCACAGTCTGCTGATGTGAAGTTGGTGCTGCAGGAGCAGGATGCTCGCGGAGCTTTGATCGCAGCCATCTGTGCAGGTGACAACACCAACACCACGTCTGCGTGAGAGGGAGGGGTCAGGATCTGCATCATGGTTCCACATCACGTCAGTGTAGACATTTCCATCAGATTTTTCATGTCGTTTATTTGCCATTTGGCATGAAACCACATTGGAATACATGTGCAAGAGTCTCCAGTAGCCAGCTGACAAATACATAAATAAAACAAGCTAAAAAGTAAAATAAAAAATGTCACCATGAAACCAATCAACAAAAACAGTTTGAATATCAAGTCCAAGATCATCATCATCTGCACAGTTCACGTTTGACTCTTAGAGTTTTTAAGATAAGATTGAAGCTTCAGCAGCAACACAATAATAGTTGATTTGATGTTCAGGGTGACCCCTGAACATTTGGATCCTGTTTATATTGTGATTCCTCTCCTCAGTTCTCTCCTCTTTCCCCTCTCCTCTCCTCTCTCCCAGTCCACTCCTCTTTCCTCTCTCTCCTCGTTCTAACAGTCCTCTGTCATCTCTCCTCGGTCCTCTCTCCTCTCCTCCTCTCTACTCTCCTCAGACCGCTCTCTTCTCTCCTCTCTCTGGTCTGGGGAGGACAGTGTAACCCTGAGACGGTTTGGACCGCAGCCAAAGAGCCCAATCAATAACTTTCTATTTATTAATAGTTTATTGGATGAGCTCACTGCAGCGCTGCAGGGACAATAGGACCAGAGGACACCAGCTTTTTCAGACAGAAACGTGAAAAAGAGAGGACCACCCTCACTTAGCCAATCAGATCTCACTATTTGCCTCTCAGAGCAAAATTGTGGCTCACAGGGCTCTTACTTACAAGTATTCAAACGATAAGATGTTTTCTATTAAGATGGAGACAGAATGTGTTCTGAATCTTTCTGAACAATATTTCCACTAAAATGTTATTATTGCAAAGAAAGACTCAACTGTAGAGTCAACACAAAAATATTGTCGTATTTTAGTACTGTCTTCTGTTCCCCTTGACCTAAAATTCAGAGGAGCCACAGGGGCCTCTTTTAACCCTCTCGCTCCTGTTAGGTCCCACCGCTCTCCTGGCCCATGGCATCGGCTTCGGACGCACGGTCACCACTCACCCTGCTATGAAGGACAAGATGATGACTGGAGGTAAGACTGGGAATACACTTATAGCAGGGGTATGTAACTTTCAAACAAGGGCGTAGGTTTGCGTGGGGACTGTTGGGACATGTCCCCATCAATATTTTGGGAGGACTAAAATGTCCTCACCAAATATAAAATGATGCCCCGGACTGTCTTCAATACAATAAATACAATACAATATATTCTTGTAAAGCCCTACAACTGTAGTCATCTCAGAGGACTTAACAAAACCATTGAAATCACCAACAGAGAATCAACCGACGAAAAGAATATAGAACACATGTTGATAAATGTCCACACATGTTGTAGAATGTTGAAGTGTCCTGGATCATCACCACAATCCTTTTTGTTAGACACGAACTGTCCAACAGACCCTCCTGCATCGGCAAGGAAAAACTCAAAAGAAAATCCCAGTGGGAAAAAAGTTAGAAACCTTCGGGAGACCCACATATTGAGAGAGGGATCCGCTCCACACGGACGAACGGGCTGTAGATCCAGGACCTAAGCTACAGAAAGTGGAACAGGGCCACGCAGCAGCGGCAGAACGTGGACCGTCCAGTGCAGGACTGAAACAGCTCCCAGGCGGGTCAGGCAGGGCAATCCGCAGGTGTAGATGGAGGAGGCCAGGTTCAGAGGTCCCGTTGTCGCAACATGAAACAGATAATGGGACAACGGGTGAATAGCAATGACCAGACTACAGTCAAAATCCTAATAATGCAGACAGATAAAGTAGGAAGGAGGAGAGGATAGTGCTCAAGTTTCCATACTTCTCCCAGCAGACTGACTCCCTATGCAGCTTGACTGACAATCTAAGATGCTTAGCCTTCCCTGAGTCTTACCTTCCTAACCATATGCTAAACTAAAGACAACTGTTTTAAGCCTAGCCTTGAATGGGAAGACTGTGTCCGAATGAAGGAGAGACAGCAGCAGCCACGGCTAGGCTAGCCCAGGCTACAGCACCAAGGATTTGTGAACTAAGTGTGTAAACCAAACGAGACAAACACCCTAACCATATGCTAAATTGAAGAGACCGTATCTGCTTCCTTAACGTGGATAGGAAGCTGATTCCACAGTAAAGGAGCTTGGTAGCTAAATGCTCTGCCACCGACAGTGCTTTTTGAGACCTTAGGAACCACCAGACGTCTGCCGTTTTGCGAGTGCAGTGCTCGGTTTGGTTGACATGACGACACTAACGTGTCTTGAAGATAAGAACTCTGCCAGCAAAGTGTTAGAGTAGTCAAGCCTTGAGCTGACAAAAGTGTGGATCAGTTTTTCCGCGTCACTGAAGGATATTCCTGATTTTAGTGATGTTCCGCAAGTGAAATACGCTGTTTTAGTTGCTCGGCTTTTATAAGCCTTGAAGGAGAGTTCTTTGTCGAAAATGACTCCAAGATTTCTCACAGTGTTGCTGGGTACTATGCTGAAATGATCAAGAATGATTATCTGGTCGGCAAAGGAGTCGCGCAGGCGCTTTGGACCGAGTAGGATCACTTCTGTCTTATCCAGGTTAAGCAGTAGAAAGTTAAGAGTCATCCATGTTATTAGGTCATTTATGCAGGCACTAAGCCTTTTCAACTGATCTGTCTGATTTGGTTTCATGGACAGGTAAAGCTGTGTGTCATCTGCATAGCAGTGGAAGTTAATTCCATGCTTTTTAATGGTGTTACCTAGCGGCAGCATGTAGAGAGTGAAAAGCATCGGTCCGAGTACCGATCCCTGCGGCACACCAAATTCCACTCAAGAATAAGGCGACGAGTTATGATTCACATTCAAAGTGATACTGATCCGATAGATAGGATTTAAACCAGCCAAGGGCTGTTCCTTTGAGACCTTCGCCACATTCCAGTTTCCGCAGTAGAATGCTGTGGTCTATTATGTCAAATACAGCGCTGAGGTCTAGTAGGACCAACACTGACACTTGTCCATTATCAGCAGCTAGTAGTAAGTCATTTGTGACTTTGATTAGTGCCGTTTCAGCGCTATGAGCTCTGAATCCTGATTGAAAGATTTCAAACATATTATTTTCCTGCAGATGGCAGCAAAGCTGTTCAGCTATAAGCTTTTCCAGGATTTTAGATATGAAAGTAAGGTTTGACATCGTTCTGTAGCTTGGAAGTCAGTCCAGGATTGTTTTCTTCAGAAGGGGTTTGATTACCGTGGTTTTAAAAGCTTGTAGGACATGGCCACATTGTATAGATGTGTTTATTATATTTGAGATACATCTTCAGTTTAATTATACGCCGCGGCTCCTCTTTGCTTCTAGAGCAGCAGCGTCAGCAGCACGTGATCCAAGAAGCTTGTGCACTTTGTTGATAACATTGTAAGGCTCAAATTCTACAAGTAGTGAGCTACTGTTTACCTTCTGAAAGTAAAGTCCGACTGGCATTGCTTTCTGAAAAGGGATCAGTGAAGCCCATGAAGCAAGTGTCAGAAAACGTGATGCATGTTTTCTCTGTGCCACTTGAAAACCGGCAACATCAACATTGACTCGTGGGAGCATCTGGCTGGGGACCGTCAAAAATGGTGTGCATCAATCGAAGCAGCTGCGGTGTCGGTGGAGGAGAGATTAGTCTCTCAGTCAAGAGAGAGTAGTCACCGACAAGCTGAGCGGGTTCAACCCAAACATAGATCCCTAGCCCCCTCTCCTGACCTGCCCCAGATGTGGAAGGGTCTACCGCCACTGCATCGGCCTCCATTCTCACATGCGTCATTGCCGATAGTCTTACTCAATACTGAGTGACCACCATTATTATTATCATTAGTCCAGTGATTAAGATTGGGCTCCCCCAGTTTAGCAGTCAGAGTTTTATGCCCGGTTAAGATGTGAATATTGAGAAATAATAATCATAATAATTGTGTCCCCACCAAAGCTGAAACTAAACCCTGGCCATTGCTTTCAAACCACAACAAAAAAAAACCATGTCTCTAGTTCCTAAAAAAGTTCCATCTATCACTAAGGCGGTATAAAGGCGGTATATAAATAAACATTACTACTTACTACTACTACACTAGTTTTCAATGTTTGGCCACGTCACATCTATAGATCAGCTTCTTATGGTCTCTCACATCATGTATTTCTGGCCTCTTTCAAATCTTTATATCAGCCTTTTCATACAGAAAAGGGAAAGGGGACCACCCTCATTCAGCCAATAAGCTCTCAGCCAAAAGATATGACTCACAGGGCTCTTTCTTACACAGAATTAACTTGTGTTCGCTTAATACTGTAGGAAGACTGTACAGTATATTATTTGTAGAACGGATCAGTTAATGCCAAAAAGGTACCCCAGCTTGAAATGACATATGTTTGGATTCAAAAGTAAGGAGTAAAAGCAAAATTATAGAAAAATAATTTGTATGCAAAGTGTGTGTATAACTGCTGAAAATATGGCAAAATGAGCCTTTTTGTAAACCCACTGTGATGTATTTACCCAGCACAGACAGCAGAGGGCACTGTGATCACTGAGGGAGGCTCTTATCATGCGGCAGGAGAGGAGAGGGGAGAAGAGAGATGGCAGATGAGATGAGAGGAGAGGGGAGGGCAGAGGAGAGATGAGCAGAGGGGAGATGAGCAGAGCATTGAGAGGTGAAAGGAGATGAGGAAAGGAGATGAGAGGGGCTCATAAAGGAGCTGGCGGGAGAGGAGAGGGTATGGAAGGGGAGTTAGAGGAGAGAGCTGAGGAGGAAAAGGAGTTGGAGGAGAGGAGATGAGATAGTAGAGCAGATGATAGTAGGTGCTTGAAGATCTGGCTCACCTTAAACATTGATATGTGATTGAGTGCTTACCCCCTTTCTGCGGTCTTGTGTCATATTGTAATCTCTGTGTATTTCCTTTTTTAGACCACTATAAATATTCTGAGGCGCGCGTGCAGAAGGACGGACATTACATCACCAGCCGTGGGCCAGGGACCAGCTTTGAGTTTGCTCTGGCCATCGTAGAGGAGCTCATGGGAAAGGAGGTTGCGGCTCAAGTTCGAGCTCCCCTCCTGCTGAGAGACTGAGACTCTGATCACACTGTGCAGACTCTAATGCAGGCGCTTGTCCACCTGCTAGCGGAATACTGCTATTCCAGATATGTAATGTAAAGCTTGGGTACCTAATTTTCAAATTCCAAAACATGGAAATGTGTATCTCTAAAACAGTTGCTTCAGTCACACATTTTCAATGTTCTTGTCATTTTGGCCTCTTTCACATCTTTAGATCAGCTTTGTTTGGTCTCTCTCTCTAGTCTCTCACATGATGTATGTTTGACCTCTGTCACATCAGCTTTTTCAGAGAGTGAAACAGAGGACCACCCTCACTCATTGGACATACAGCTTTCAGGAATGTTTCAAATACTTTGTTGTTTAGAGCGGGGGTACCTAACTTTCAAACCACTGTCAGTAGAACATTTCAATAAAATCCATTTCTGATTCTTGTCTCTTGTGCAAGCCTCTGTTACATATTAAGATTCAGTTTTTGTATTGTATTTGAGTATCGCCCTAAATCACATTAGCCGCCTCAGAGGACTTTACAAAGTTGTGGATTCATCAACAACAGATCAGAGAATCAAACCGTTCAAACACAGGAAATGCAATAACACATGAGTCATTGGTTCATAGGGAGCAGGATAACCACTGTCCAGAAATGTCAATAATAATACTCACGCAGCGCTTTAATACAAGAACATATTTATTGTTTTGTAATCTGTGGGTAAATGGATCAGTCATGTTAACTAACAAAGAAGTGTCTGTGTCTGTGTGAGAAGCGTCAAACTTAAATATTCATCAAAGGGTTTGAAAAGTGCGCCTTCGTCAATGTCAGAGGTCGCTGATGCCTAAATATATCCTGCTGCGAGAACGCGGGAAGCTGAAACCGAACATATTGACAAACGCTTTAACCAATCAGCGCGCTCGTTGTGGCTGCGGTGGTGTCAGCCTCAGCCAATCAAGGTACAGGGGCGGGCTGCACTCTGGACGCGTGCTGCGGGTCTGAGGAGCCGCGGATCCAGAGGTTTGAGACCGCGAGCAGAGCATAGTGACCAGTGTGGAGGCAGTGTGAGCCGCAGACTGAGCCGCAGACTGAGCCGCCAGAAGGTAGGAGTCCGCGCCGCGTCATTCTCTCCGCGGATACGCAGTATACGCCACCAGACTTGCACTGCTCCACAGATGTCTCTGCTCATTGTATTGATGTGACTGTCATTTATGAACCATGTGCACGCGCTGTGTGCGCGCGCTGCGTGCGCGCGAGGGAGGCGACAAGTGGCACCGGACACGGACCGCGTGTTTGAGGTTAATGTGACATAAACATACGAGAACAGGCGACGCGAAATCTGCGAGAGACAGACATGGGGGAGACTGTGAGAGACTGCGAGAGTCAGACAGGGGGGAGACAGAGACTGCGAGAGACAGACATGGGGGAGACAGACTGCGAGAGACAGACATGGGGGAGACTGTGAGTGAGTGCCCCGGTGCAGGGGGGAGGCAGACGTACGTGCGTATGCTCCTTTAGATCAGACATGTGTTTGTGCGGTAAAGGTCAGAGTTGGAGAGAGATCGTATTGACTTCTGCCCAACGCGAACGAGTTAAAGCTGGGGTACCTGACATTTATTTTACTCACTTTTCTGTCTGAAAAGGCTGATTTAAAGATGTGACTAAGGGCAGAAATACATGATGTGAAAACTAGTGATACAAGCAACTGCTATAGAGCCTGGAACTAGAGATTTGGGTTTGATTATAATTTCAAGCCATTATATGTTTGTGGCTTGTGTGAGTGACCAGATGTCCCTGACCTTGTGACCTATGCCTACATCCAATGTTCATGTTTCATTTCTTTTAGTCCATGTCCCAGTTGTCTATTTTCAGACAACTGTCATTGAGGGACATGAATCGCAATATATTGCAGAATCGAATCGCACTATGTTAAGAATCACAATAATATAAAAAAATGTGGCCCGTTATTGTAATACTATTAAATTTTTGCAAATTCCCACCCCTATAATATAGACATGAAAACTGAACTTTATGTCCTGTGTGATGTGTCAGGGAAAATGGTTACCACAGAAGACTGTGGTCCTGCATGTGTTTCTTTACAGCCACAGTCGTCACTTCCTGTAAAATGCTGTGAGGTCTGTATACTTGGAAAGCTAAAGCTGTTTTTTGTAAAAGTAGTTTTGTGTTTGAACTGTTTGATTCGCTGATCTGTGTTGGCGATTTGACTTGGCAAATATGAAACAGTCATAATGAGTTTCTTCAGATTAAACACATCTGTCACAGCTTTAGAACAGCTTTAATAAGAAAAAGGGGAAAAGGAAGAGCCATCCAATCAGCTCTCAGCCTCAAGTGTCAAATAGTGACTCACAGGGCTCTTTCTGTGAGCAACAGATACATTATGGTTGTCACAAGGTTTACACTCTTTAAATCTGATTAAACACTTTAATTTGGAACGACTGCTAATAATGCAGGTGTTGGACTTACCCTGATCCTGACCTCTGACCCTGTTCTGTGTTGTGATGTTTCATTAAAGCTGCAGTTTTACTCTTTGTAGAGTTTAATGGATGTAGTTTCATGGGGTTGAGTGAGAACAAAAGTCAAACGGCAGATGTGTTTCTGGCTCACACAGGAAGTGAGGTGTGTACGCGTGTGTGCGCGTGGCGTGGGACGCTCTTGCAGAAGTGATGATCGTGGACTTATGATACAGAAAGGTCATATAGGTAAAGGCAGTAGTCTAAGTCGTCTGTGTTATTCTGCCGATGTCATGAGGTCAGTAACAGAACTCCAGTAGTTTTTAGGGATGTCCCGATCAAATCTCGAGATTGGGATTGTGCTGATATATTTCATTAATTTGACTGATCGGTCATCGGCTACTGCCTGACGACTTGCCCAATCTTTACAACAGTTGTCGTTAAGTAGCAGTTTACGGAAACTGCGCACGCAGTAATTTAAAACTCAGTTGCGGTAAATTGTCTGAGTAGTGTTCATGTGGCTACTCGTTTGAACATGTCAAAAGTGTAGCAGTATTTTTCATTGGAAAATAAGGACAACACAAAAGCAACATGAAAACTATGAAACATGTTGATTGGGAGAGGTGGGAGGAGTGGGGGCGGGTCCCGGCTCAAAAGTGGCCAAAATGACGTGCGCTGACATGCTTGCAATACCACCCCAGGCCGATGGGGGTGGACCCGGAATAAGAATTAGCCAATGCTAACATATAGCATCTTCTCACCTCTCGAAAACGTCTTTACAGGATGGTCCACAAGTTGGCTCTTGGCCCAAAGCTCCGTTCCACATGTGTGTCAATGCTGAGGGGAGTGAATTTTTTTGGACCCGTCTAGTTTACTCGCTGTGAATTTTTGAAGTCATTTGTTTAAATGAATGGAGCTTCCGCCGGCTAACGCATTCGCAGATGCGTTTTTTCACATTTTCCACTTCATGAGAGCCCAATTTTTGGCCCATTAGTTAGAACGGCGGAGATAGGCGTGACTACGTGCGTTAATATATACAGTCTATGGGTGGGAGCAGCAGAGCTACATTCAACATGACAAATCTGATTTAATCATTTGAGGACTAAACATGAAACAAAGAATACGGCGTAGTCATTTGTTGTTGTGACACTACATTACAATTCGGTAGTGATGGGCAGATGAAGCCCCGTAACACACCAAGGCTTTCTTTGCCAGATTGCTTCAAATGTGTCTGAGCCATGGATCTATTATGTCTATTATGAGCCTCTGAGCTAGCGCATGCTAGGTCGTAACACTGACATCTAGAGGACAAATGTAATCAATGCAGCTCCTGAATTAGAGCAATTTATCATTAAACATAAATGGTAGATAATGGTGTACTTAAAATAAATGAAAATCATTTGATGAGACATTTCGGTTGAATAGGATCTTCGTTTTCCACTTGCAGATGCCAAATCACTAACACTGTCTCGTCACTCACCACGCAACACTGTGAAGAAATAGTGATGCATCATTTATAAATGACTCAAAATATTGAGTTTACTTGCTAAAAATGTAGTTTTACAATTTACAATACCCATGATAAAAATAATTGGATCTGATTTGAAGTCTAACAATTTTTATGTGGAAATGGAAGCTGTTTACCATGCAATGTAATGTTCTCGCTCTCCACACGGGGCGAGCGGCAGCAGTAGACCTCTAATATCTTTATTCATACTACATTATTATACTATTTGTTGGTCCTGGTCAGTCCTGGTCAGTCCCGGCGAGTCCTAGTGGGGTTGAGGGTGAGGTGAGGTTGGTGCAGCTGTGGCCTCTTCCTCATTAACGCCGTCTTCTGCAGTTGGATATTTCTGGAACGTTAACGAATGGCAGTGTTGTATGTAACATGTTAGAAGTGTTCTGCTTCAGCGGCTTGCAGTGGAGCTGCAGGGTTGGCTGTGGTGGGAGAGACTCAGGGGGAGGGGGCTCTAGGCCTGGGACTGACTCATGGCTTTAGCTAATGATGTAATTAGAGTGGTGCTCGTGCGTGTGCTGATGATCCCTGCTTTGGGCTGACGTTCTGATGAGAAACACTGCTTTGCTCACGTTTCACTGGAAAATCAATCTGAAAAGACCCTTTTAAAGCTCAAGTAGAGACCAGAGAGGGAGAGAGACCAGAGGGAGAGAGACCAGAGAGGGAAAAATATATTATCATATAGGGCTGGGCAATATAAACAGTGCAAGTGGTATGCGATAAAAATTTGGCCAACGATAGAGATTTTTGTTATGCCGGCATATTCCGTCATTATGTCATCAAACTGCAAGACGCATGGCCTGCTTGGACCGGCAAGAACCACGAGGAGTGTGGCTGCTGGATTCGTCCCGTAAACCGGATTCGTCCAGAAGTTCAGTTTGCTCATGTCAAAAAGTTTACATAAACATGTAAACAGTTTGTGTTTTTATATACAGATTATATTATTGATTTGTGCTCATATGTATCAGGGTTTATTACAAGAAATGGTGGAAAAAAAGCAAAAAAAAAATGAGGCAAACATAGACAGTTTAATTCTTTATTA